CCCACACCTCGTGTAAGCCTCTAGCTCTACACTCACCTGCCATCCAGCCGTTGTCCAAAGCATCCCAACACCCCTCTGTCGGGGCTGAGCCGAGGAAGACAGCTGGCCCTTGGACAGGCAGCCTCCCAGCCGCGCCACGACCCTGCAGCACGGCGGTCAAAGTTTCTTTGCCGAGCCTGCGGCATCCCCTCCCGCCCTGCTGAGGGCAGGGTCACCCGGCACGCGTCTTCCCACGGCGCCGGTACCACCTGTAACGGTGGTGTCCTCCTGTAACGGTGGCTGGTGCTACAGAAGGTACTTTCCTGTTCCAGGGGAAGCCTGTGACGCACAGGCGTCCCTGGGAACACGCTGTTGGGACTGCTCACCTCCAGATCGGAGGCGGCTACTGGGTCCCAGCTAGTGCCTGGTGCTCCCGGAGAGAAGGTGCCGAGCACCTCACTTCCACCCTCACACCTTTACTTCAGGCACGTGGAGGTCCAGCACAGGCAGAAGCACAGCTCCGTGATCCAAACAGCAAAGTCTTCGTCACTTGGCATGGCCAAGGCTAGCAAGCCCAAAGCATCTTTTGGCTCCAAAAGCCTTCTCTACCAATTCCAGCAAGAGTTATACTTGACTTCCCACAGTGCCAGTTCCTCTAGCAGAGGCATGAGGAAGGACAGCAAAGCCTGAACTACTCTTAGCTACCTTCCGGGCATCTCCAAGGGCATCATTCCTACTCTGGAAAAGGGAAAGCAGAATCCCTTGCTAGCAAGGGCACCTTTGGGTTTGGCCCCTCATAACTTCAGCAGGCACCACCGGAAAGCCCTTCATTTTGAGGCCAGGTAGAGAAAGCTCTCCTCAGCAACTCCTCACATTGACCAAGGAGGAAGACTCATTTCTTAAGCTGGGTCTTGTTTACTAGGCCAGCTACAGAGCCAGGTAGCAGAAGTAAGAACAGTTACCCCATCATGGGGACTAGTTGGGATACTGATGCTCGAAGCAACTTAGGCTCACGTCTAAGAAACTTGGATTTGAAAGGGCAAGAAAGGAGAAGGAAGCTCCTTTACAGGGTATTTACAGAGGCACCAGGACACGAGGTGATAACGCGGTGATTCCCACAACCCTCCCCCAGTAAGAGCAGCTCATTGATAGACCAAGAGGAGGTCTGGGAACACAGCACTTCCCAGAACCTCTGCGGGCATGGTGACTTCAGGGTATTTGCTCAGCCAGCAATCTGTCGCTAACAGAAAGCTGCATCTAACGTCGAGGAGACTTCTGATGCATGAAAACAGCTCTGAAGCACTGTCCTGGTTCAGCCACACCAAGTGCAGGAAGATTTGCAAGTGGTGACCATAACGACTACATCCTCAAGTTCTTTGTAGCAAAGAGCAGCTCCGCAGAGTCATTTGACTCCAGCAATTATATTAACCTTATTTGTTTCAAGTCAGAGAGCTAGAATCCATGCATGCAAGAGGTATCTAGGTCCACTCAAGCAGAGATTACAGAAATCAAGAGATGCCTGGCACCAGTCCATAAGCGCTACAGACATCCAGCACGTAACAGAGGCTGCTCACCAGTGGTGTTCCTGAGGGGTTCTGGCAGGCCTGGCATGCAACAGCTAAGGCAGCCCAGGAACGGAGGACTCGCTACCGAGGAGGCTGGCTGGGAGCTGAGAGCCTTTTTCCTCCCCTAACAGGACACTTTCTAACGGGTAACAGCACAGCCTTGCCGTGGACCAACAAGAAAGATGATCCTCTCCTAGCAGAGCTTAGCCAGGTGGCTCCTAGTCCTCATCTGGGCTCTGCCCACCCAGCACAACCTCATGTTTGATGCTTTCCACGTTCAGCGGTCCGTGATGTCCAAGCTCTACCATGACAGCAGCAGCTACCACCCACGGAGCTGCAGGCAGGCCCTTGAGGACAGGGATGGGAAGGGACCAAGAGGACCCGTGGGATAACCACACGTTTCAGCCTCCTGCTTTGGGCACCTAGACAGCCAGCTCCAGATTTCCCCCCCGCTCCCCACGGGCCCACAGCTTTTCAGCGACCTCCTAGGAGAGCAAGGATGCGTTTCGAGAGCAGCGGCAACGTTTCTGCATTGGACACCCGAGGCAGCAGGGTGAACGCACGGGGTCCTTCCTGCAATACGGCCCCGAACGCAGCACGCGGTGCCTGTGGTGAGCAGGCAAGTCCCTCTGGTTGCCAGAAGAAGCTCTGCCTGCAACGGGGGGTGCGCAGCACCTAGGCAGCTGCCTGTCTCGCACTGCCCCTCGGGAGCGCCGGGGACGTATGCCGTCACGCAGATTGGCGGCTGCCTGGAAAACTAAACAGAAGATAGCAGCAAGTGGGGAGGGATCGAGTTTGGGGAGGTGTCTGGTGAGGAACAGCAGGGACTGACATTAGGCCCTGTTTGTTTAACATTCCCGTTAGCGACCTCGAGAGGAGCGAGAGGCATTCCTGTCCTCCGCATGTCACCGGGCAGGAAGCGGCTGTGAGATCCAGGGGCTTGCAGATAAGATAAAGGGAAAGGCTGAATTTGGGAGCTTCGCCCCGCCGTAGCTGGGGCACACGGCGCCCTTCTGCAAACGCTCGGGGAGGTGGTGAAGGAGGCTCACAGGAGGAGGTGGGGGGGGGTGGGGAATGGAGGAGTGTCCACAGCTCCGGGATCTGGCAGTGTTATCCACGCAGTGTGGGAAGATATTCCAGCACACCCTCCTGCTTATGTTGGGGCTGAAGGATTCCACTTCGCACTAAACTTATTTATTGCTCCGTATCAAGGGAAGCTCTGGGCAAGAATTTGGGTGGGATGTGGGATTAAGCCCCCCAGACCGTGCCAGGGCCCTGAACACAAGGTCACTCCTCGTGCCACCATTCGCTCCTTCTGCGGTGAGGAATGGCTGCTGGTCAGCCAGGAGGACTCACAGGAAAAACAGGCGCTCGGAGGGCTTCTGCAGGCTCGGAGCGGCCACCACGGAGCCCAGCCAGGAGCTCATCACCCACGGCAGTATTTGTGAAGGATCCTGGCAGAGAAAAGGCTTTCCAGCAGCAACCCCACCAGGGACAGGGACACCCCCCCCCTCCTAGTCCCAGCCCACCAGCTCCCAACCATCCTCAGCCACCTCCGGGGTGGTTGGTCCTTTGCTGGACCCGCGGGTGCAGGGCGACGAATGCGCCCAGCGCGGCTGCAGACCATCTAGCAGGGTGGACCGGACTGTCCCCCTCCCCGCACACACCCGGAGGCAGCACGATGGAGAGCAGGGGCCCCTCCTGTTCAACCCCTGCCCCGTCCCCCCAGGGATGCAATCTTTAACTGGGTTTTCCAGCCACCAAGCATCGCTCCAGGGAGGACCGGCCTCCCCTCAAGGGCTCTTGGAAATGCAATAGCTTCCAGCACCCACTTCGCCAAACCACCGCCCCGCAGCGGGGAACAGGCCAGCGCTGCCCCACCACCAAGAGCTCGCCCAGCTACCACCCAGAGCGGTGCCGCGGGGATGCGCCAAGCGGCATCGGCCTTGGGGGGCTTTGCAGGCCAGTGAACAATTGGATCAAGAAGCTGCACCGAGCCTTCTGCGCACGCAGCCCGTGAAACCCCCGGGTACCGAGCCTCCCCGCACCAGGAGGGCGGCGCAGGGCTCCGGGTGCTCTGTCTCTACCCACCCACACTAGTGTCACCCATCAAGGTTAGGGCACGTCACCAGCAGCATCACATCCACGTCCCATCGCACCCACCCAAGCCCTGCTCCGCGCGGGGGGGAGAAACGCTACGGGCCGCCGCTTTCCGATCCATTCCACCCCATTACCCGGGTGTCCCCCCCCCTCCCACGCTGGGGCTGAAGACCAGCGGGCGCGACGGCCCCAAGACAGCTGGTGCACGGGGACCGTCCGGCCCCGGAGGGTGGCAAAGCCAGCCAGGCGCCATGTTGCGGCGGCGCGAGCGCACGGCGCGCTGGAGGAGAGCGAGGGGAGGGGGCAGAGCACCTCCCCGGTCCCGAGGGCCGGGTGCGGAGGACTGCAGCAAAAAAGCGACCGAGGCCGGGCATTTTCCAGCGCCCGCGCCAAGATGGAAGGTGGCGGGAAACCCACCTCCCCAACCCCTGCTCGAGGGGTGCGACGAGAGGGGTGCCGCGCTAGCGGCAACGCTACCGCCCAGCCAGCGGCTCCGACAGCCGCAGGGCAGGCGGGCAGGGCTGCGAGCTTGGCTTCAGCATGTGGCTACGGACAAGCGACCGTCGCAAGCCCTCGCGGCGCAGGGTCCGGCAGCATCCAGGCTCTGGCTCGCAACGGTCATCCAGGGGAAGGAGGCTGCTGGCGGGGCAGCTCGCAGCCCTCCAGCCCCAACCAGGCTGCCGGCACGTGGGGAGCAGGGCAAGGTCTCCACCGTCGTGGTCCAAGGACGTCCCTAAGAGCCCACCACGGGCAGAGCGGTGCCTGGAGGGGGGGAGCCCGGTGCCCTCCAGCCGCAGGGGTTTGGGGACAGGACACCCCGTGCCCGGGGGCCCTGGCTAGGCTGGAGGGAGTGGGGTCCTGCTGGTCCCCTGCCCTGAGGAGCTACAGGGACACTGGGCTGAAGCAGCAGTCGGGGCTCACCCTGCCCAGCCCCAATCCAGCCCCCACCCGCCCCCCGGGACGGCCCGGGGAGGTGGGGGGGGGGGGGCCTCCAGCCCTGGCTACCCAATGCCTTCGCACTCCAGCTCCCTCAGCCCGGTCTCGGCTCCCCAACATCCCATCTCTAGTCGTGTCCCCCCCCCCCCGACGACCCGCGGGTCCAGCCCCGACGCCGCAGCCTCGGTTCCCCCAGCACGGCGCTGCGCTCCATCCCCGCTCCCTCGACGCCCCGGTGCCGCATCCCCCGCTCCCCCACTCCACGGTGCCGCACCCCCACCACCCCCCCACCCTCAGTTCCCCGACGCCACGGGGCTCCATCCCTACCCCGCCCTGCTGCCCTACCCCTAAAGCTCCATCCCCGGTTCCCCCAAAACCCCCGGCACTCCAGCCCCGCCGTGCCCCGTCCCCGGTTCCCACCTCCTCCTCGACGTTGCCGCTGCCGTTGGTGTGCTCGGTGTCCTTGTTGAGGTTGCTCATGGTGGGGTGCGGGGGTAGTGGGGTGGGGGGGGGGGGGTGCGGCTGCTCGGGAGCTCCGCGGGGCCGGGGGTGCGGGTGCGGGTGCCGGTGCCGGGGCGGTGCGGGGCGGTGCTGCCCTCCCGGTTCACATGCGGCGGCCCGGGACCGCGCCGCTGTTAAGGGGCCGGGGCCGAGCGGAGCGCAACGAGCCGCAGCTGCGGGGCCGACGCGCCCCAGCCCCCCCCCCGCCGCCGCCGCCGCCGCCGCTCCCGGTGCCGCCGCCGCCGCCGCCGCCGCCGCGCACCGAGCAGCGGGGCCGGGACCCGCCCGCCCCCGCCCCGCCCGCCCGGGGCCGCCCCCGGGCCGCCCGCCGCCAATCCCGGCCCGGCCCGCCCCCCCTTCCCGGGGGGGGGGTGGTGGGGGGGTGCGGGGCTTTTTTTTTTTTTTTCTTTTTTTTTTGTTGTTGTTGTTGGACTCGAGTTATTTTAATTATTTCCCTCCCCCCCCCCCCCCCTCTTCCCTCCCCGCTCCTTTCCCTGAAAAAGTTTCTCAACTTTGATGAACTTTCGGGCTTCGACTTTCTTAAAGGGCCCGCCGGCCTGCTCCCTCCCGGGCATCCCCGGAGCGGGGCGGGGGGCGCGGGGGGGGGGGGAGATGTAGCTGAACCCCGCGGGGGTCCGAGCGCCCCCGGACTGCACCCCCACAGCCCTGGGATGGCAACTCTGTCACCCTCCGACGAAAGCCCCGAGCCCCAAGAATAGGAGCCACAGAAGCTCAGGACACGGATCTTGTAACCCCAGGACAGCTGCCCCACATCCCCCCATATCCTCCCAGGAGAGCAGCCCCACATCCCCCGGACAGTGGCCCCACATCCCCCAGGACAGTGGCCCCACATCCCCCAGGACAGTGGCTTCACATCCCCCAGGACAGTGGCCCCACATCCCCCAGGACAGTGGCCCCACATCCCCAAGGACAGTGGCCCCACATCCCCCAGGAAAGCAGCCCCACATCCCTCCAGGACAGCGGTCCCATGCACCCAGGACAGTCTCACTGAGACCCCGGGAGAGCAGCCCCAAATCCCCCAAAACAGCAGCCCCTGGTTCCCTGGGGACAGCAGCCCAATTCCCCCTGCCAGAGCAGCCCCAGGTCCCAGCAGGCGGCCGGTGGGTGCCAGGAGCACAGCCCCTGACCTCGGGCTCAGGAGGAGGAGCAGGGTTGAGGCATGACCATCTTCTTGCCCTTCTCCCTGCGCCGCTGCCTGACTAGCCCCATCCTAACAAAGCAGGCAGGGAGGTCGGCACGGGTTCCTGGCTCCCCGATGCGGTGATGTGCCAGCCCCCATGCCCAGGGAGCAGCCCGACCCATCCCCATCTCCGCTATGGCAGTCGGAAAGGATGAAGAGGGTCCCACCTTCCTCCAGACCTTTGCGCAAAAGGGCAGCCCGCAGCTGGGGACGTGTCACGGGAGCAGAAAACTGGGTGTGTGGCTCCTTCCTGCACGTTGCACCCCACGGCTCGGTCCCTGTGCGAGGCAAATGTGTGAAAACCCCAAGGGTTCGGGGAGATGTTCAGGGCATGTGAGCCACACCAGCTCAGCTGGCGTTGCTTGGACCCAGTCCTCGCTGACTTCTGCAGCGCCGAGGCTGGCTGAAAGCGAGGGGAAACATCAGCCCTACCCTGCCCCAGTGGTCCCGCGGCCCCCACGACTGGCTCTGAGCGACCGTTTGCTTCCAGCAACAGCTCAGGGATAACGTTTTGCTCGTGTGCACGTTGTGAAGAGACGTGAGCCTGGCCACAGCTGACTTCCTCACCGACACCCGGGCTCACTGCCCTCTTCCAGCCCCAGCTTCTGACTTGCTTTGCCACCTGGTTATGCAGAGGCTCCCCACAAAAATTTAACCCTCAACTCAGCCGTCCCCGTGCCCAAGCGCGGTCCAGCACAACCCAAGGAGTGCCGGATCCAGCACCATCACCGAGGTGGGTCCCACAGTCGAGCCGGTGCCTCGGGGGCTGTGTGGCTTCATCGCAGGAGGTGTGTTGGAGGGGAGGAAACATCCTCCTGGGAGCATGGGCTTCGCGTTGCCTTGCTTTCTGGGTTAGGGCTTTTAGCAGCAGCAGCTGTTTGCATGCGGCACCGTGGGGTTGTGTATTGAGTTCTCACACAGACAGCGGCAAAGCGACTACTTCTCTTTGTAAAGCTGTGCAAAGAGCCGCCAAGCCAGAGAGCCCAATCACTGCCAGGTCCTGCAAGAGGGGAGGAAAAACCCCACTTTTTAATGAAAAAAAAAAAAAAGTCTACTTATTTACAACGTTGTCCTACAGGGTGTTTTTTTGGGAGACTTTTCACACAAAGAATACACCCAGCCCTGCTGAACCACAGTGAGAGCCCCCGGTCCACCCACGGAGCTCGGCATGGAGCAAGGACTTTCTCCAGCCTTCAGCGGTGCTGCGCTTCACCGTAACTTTGTCCCCAGTGTAAGGCTGCACACGAATAAACTCCCAGGAATAGCATTGCCTGCTGTGCCGAAAAGCCTCGAAGCAAGCCTGCCCTGATGAAGACCAGGAATATTTGCTTCCTGTGCTAATTAAGCAAAAAGCAGAATAACCTCGCAGAGCTTTCTCGGTGTTTAGGTTTGGGGTTGTTTTTTGTTTTGGTTTTTTTTTTTTTTTTGTTTTGTTTTGTTTTGTTTTTTTTCACTTTCTACAGACTTTGAGTCGGGAGACACGGAGTCTGCAGCACATGGAAGAAGGCGCAAAAGGGTGGAAGTCAGAAGCAGCAGCGTTTTTTTTTTTTTTTGTCAGACCCCCAAGGAAGCTGTGCCGCACACACACGCAGAGGAAATGTGCTGCCTCTTCCACAGCAGGGAAAACACCCGCCGCAAGCGGAAGAGCTGCTGCATCCATCCTGCAACGACGGCGGGTCCACCACGTCGCTGCCAGGCTGATGGCCCGTAACCTGTAGTTTATTCTGTCAGCAAGTTCATCGTGTTGCTGTTGGGCAAGAGAGAAGCATCCTCCTTGCACGACCACCCCTCAGAGCTGTGTGTGGTGGCAGCATCTCTACGTCCCAGCACCTTATGGCTCCCAAGTCCCTTTGTTGTCCCCATAAACATCACGCCCAGGCAGCCTCTCCCCTCCCAAAGCATCGCAGCAAGGCAGCATGTGCTTCAGCACGTGGAGCCCTTGGTGGTCCAACCAACTGCACCAGGAGGGGGATGTTTCCTGCTCCCAGGAGCTCACAAGGGTGGTTGAAAGGTGGGACAAATGAAGCGCTCACTGCTGCCAACTTGTGCAGGTGAGCCAGTCCACCAGAAAATTGCAATGCCTCTGCCTTGGTTTTGGCTGAGGGTTTTTCCTTTGGGTGGGTTTCCACTTGCGTGCGGAGATGCTCGGCTTTAAGTGTGTGACCTGACCCCGCATCAGCTGAACCGGTGCAGGACCAGGGTGACACTTTGGTTTGGACCACGCTTACGCAAGTTTTACAGCAACGTGTTTTTACACCAACACTTTTCTCCCCAAGGCATCTACCACCCAACAGCACCTACCTCTGCAGTCTAACCCAGCTCTGCATCAAGAGGCCCTGTCCTTGCCACACCACATCCACCAGTTAGAAGAGCAGAGGTGATGCTGTGACTGTCCAACCTGCTCCCGCCAGCCTCTCCCACATGAGATCCTGCTCAGCACGGAGGAGCTGGCAGCGACACCAAACCCACACTGATAAAAAGCACCTAAGTGAGACCAAAAAGTTAGTCTTATGCCCAAGACTACATGGTCTTCCGTGGTCACTTGAATATGCACTTCACTTGCAGTGTTGGAACCTTCTTAGCTTGCATGCAGCAAGCGGGGGATAACCCACCTAAACCCTAAACCTGCACGTGGCAGGGCTCGGAAAGCAGCTTGCTGGGGTGGCCTCTAAGCCACGAGCCCCAGCCAGGTCGCTGCCTGCTGGAAAACAGCATCTTCAGCTCCAGAGCAACTTCCAGGCCTCCTCTGTGCTACTTCACACGCAGGGATGGGCAGCACACACAGGGCGATACCTGTCCCCAGCTGCCCTGCCAAGGTGCCCCATGCAAGCAGCTCCAGCCACGCTGAACTCCTTGTAAAGGATGGGAACTGTGGCGCCTTACTGAGAAAAAGGAGTAAAAAAACTGAGATGCTTACAACCATCAAGCGGGTCCTAGCAAGGGGGCTACTTCGGTACTTGAAACAGGTTGTAATCAGCTGAGAAATCAAAGTGGGACTTGAAATCACAACCACCTGTAGACAATCTTGTGTTTTCACACAGTTTCTCAGCTTAACATTTTCCGAGGGCTCTTTCTCACTCTTGAACAAGCAGGTCACTGGCTCAGGAGGTAGGATAGCCAGGAGCAGGGTCGGGACGCTGTTAGAGGTGATAACAGAGGGGTGTCTCTCTCCAGCTGGGCTCCTGCATCCTGTATCTGCTGCCCATTTGGTTTTGTGATCCTAGGACTCATTCACCCATCTGTAGAGAGGTGACAAATTTCATCTCGGGGATCATGGTGGTTGTCACAGGGGGTACCTCGGGTCCCTGCTACCTCCAAGCCCACCACAGGCTCTGCCACGCTTTGGATGAGGTGCTGGGTTGTTCTGTTGTTTCTCGCTGCTTATCCGGGACAACAGCTGAGCTCTAGTGCTTGTCCCAGGACAGAGAGGACGCTCCCATGCCTCTTCCAACATGTTCGAGGTATGGTGAAGGGACGGTTTCCTCTGCTCACCCCTGACACCAACTTCTCCTCCTCCTGTCCTTGCCCAGGAAGCCCCACTTCTCGCCGGACCATGCCAGCTAGCTCTGCTCCTCTCCTCAGTGCTGCCCCAGAGACACTCCTGTATACCCCTCCATCCATCCCAGCTGCTCTTGCCTCATGCCTTTAGTCTTTCTGGTTAATTATTCTGGACTGGGATTTGCAACGCTGTCTGAAGAGAGGCCACTAATCATGGGATGCGGAGAAACCCTGACTTCCAAGCGAGCAGTGCGAGACCAGCCAACCCCACTGTGCCCCAGGGCTTGGCTGACACTGCTGCAGCCACTGGTGGGCACGGGCAAGCTGGGTGCTGGGGTCACCAAAGACTCTCTACAGGACCTCAAATGAGTTCTCAGAGACTTTTCCGGCCCCAGCCACGAGAAGGCTTTAGGGCCGAAACGCTACTTTTGGCAGGGATCGGCACCCAGACAGCTGAAGACTTGTTACAGCGGTCACACAGCGATGGTGGGAAGGGACCTCTGGAGTCGCCCATCCAACAGTCTGCAGGACTGTCACCAGCACTGGGCCAGGTTGGTCCTG